AGGCTCTGAGCTGTCAGCACAGAGCCCGACACGAGGCTCAAACCCATGAACCATGAGAACATGATCTGATCCGAAGTTGGACACCGACTGAGCCACCCAGGTGCCCCAAACTAGTGAATAATTTTTAAAGGCAATGCCTGAGTGCAGAATTGTCTTGGTTATGCCTCAGCTCCCTCCCCACTTAAGTGAACCTTAGCAATCAGACAAGTGTCTAAAACCGTTTAACAGAACCCCAAACCAGCAGATCTAGTTATTCTTATTTTACTGATTTTGTGATTTCCAGTTTTCAGGGTTGGGCAGAACTCTAATTGATAGGATGGACTAAATAGACCATATAACCTAAATCAGCCCATATCTCATTCCCATGGGCTTGTACCCTGCTCTGCCTTGCCACATATAGACATTCTCTACCTATATTAGTCAGGATTATCCAGAGAAACAGAACTAGTCATGTATGTGTCTGTGTGCACGCGCTATTGCATATATGTATGTATTGTATTATATTTATATATGTACTATTGTATTATATGTATATATAACAGTATATATACAACATAAATATTATATACTATGTATAATATAATATATACAACATATACAACATAAATAACATACATTTTGTTATATACATTGTATATACAACATACATTATGTTGTATACATACAACATAAACACTGTTAATATAGTGTCAACATACATTGCTCCCTCCCAATCCAAGGGCAGGGGGATATGAGATAAGAAGATGAGATTCAACAGCAAGGCAGGAAAAAGAAAAGAGCTGAATTCCTCTTTTTTCCACCTTTTGTGCTATTTAAGCCCTCAAGGACTTAGACGATGTCCACCGACATTGGGGAGTGAAATCTACTTTACTGAATACATCAATTCAAGGGTTAAACTCAACCAAAATATTTTCACAAGCAAACCCAGAAGTAATGTTAATCTGGACACCCTATAGCCAGTCGAGTTGACACAAAATTAACCATCACTCTACCTAGTCCTCCTTAACAATATATGCAGATTTTCTTGTTAACTCTTAAAGGATACAGTGAATATGGCTTACTGAGAGCTCTTTTTGGACAAATTGTATCTGCCCTTACCATGAAGTTGTATAATAGCTCCTGCCTCTGTCTGTCCTTCATGAGCTCTAGGTCACCTTGGGGAAATTACATTTCTATATCCTTCAGTTTTCTGATCTCTAAAGTTTGTATAATGATGACCGTATCTATTGCCTAGGGTTAAAGGAGATTAAATGAAAAACAAATGAAGCTCTTCAAACAGGGACTTGTTTATAGTAAGTGTTTAACAAGTGTTAGCTATTATTTTTTTTCAAATTAACTTTTCACTTCTGTTTTGTTATATCTTATTCCTTTTTTTCCTTTTTTTCTTTCATAGCTTATTGTCAAGTTGGTTTCCATATAACACCCAGTACTCATCCCAACAAGTGCCCTCCCTCATGCCCATCACCCCCCATCTCTTCTCCCCCACCCCCATCAGCCCTCAGTTTGTTCTCAGTATTCAAGAGTCTCTCATGCTTTGCCTCCCTCCCTCTCCCCAACTATTTTTTCCCCTTCTCCTCCCCCTTGGTACTCTGTTAAGTTTCTCCTGATCCACTTAAAACTGAAAATATATGGTATCTGTCTTTCAAATGTTAGGTATTATTAATTGCTCTTCCTGGAAGAAGCGCCAGAACATCAAGTCTGGATTCAGTTGGTATCTCCAAAATTGTGTTGCATGGCTTGGCAAGGGCTTTGTGAATTTGACCTTAATATTGTTGTTGTTATTTTCTAACCCAGGAAATTGTGTCAGTTCCATATTGGACAGAACATCTATCCTTCCTTATCAGAAACTTCCTCTTCTTCACAATTTTACAAAGAATGTTCTCTAATTATTCAGGTTTGCCTAATCGGGTATTCTGAATCATCTTTGTCCTTTTCTTCTATATACTGCACTTCAAAGGCCTCACAACCCAGAAGTCACAATTCAGTAACAGCCTAGGATATGCTCACACTTAAATGCCTTATTATTCCATGTAATAGAAGACAGCAATATAAGATATAAATAACTCTCAGGTATATAAGTTTACAGGGAAATACTTCTTATTATTTTGTCCCACTACTATAACATCAAACTTGATGATAAAATCTACTCTCCTTAAAATGTGTTATACGTATTTAAAGCAATAGCCATAGAGATATAAATTATACCCTCTACTTACTGTGAACATAACTTATTAATAAAGCCATGTACAAGGTTAATTGTCAAACTGTCTTCCTTAATCTTCTGAATATCTTTCATCTCCATCAGTCAAACAGATTTTGTAGATCTGTACTTTCTGTGGTCTGTATTGAAAAATCATTTTTTCCAATATAAAATAGATTAAATATACCTTTTCAAATTTATAAACCTTGGAAAATTTAATATGACCACTCGCCCTTCTCCTTCCTCTTTTGTTCACTGCTACAGTCTTGTTGGCAATACCTTCAAAATATATCTGGTATCTGAACATTTCTCATTACCTCCATTGCTCCTCTTCTGGAATCACCTGGATTATGGCAAAGTTTCCCAACCAGTTTCTTGCTTCTGCTCTTGGCCTCCTACCCTCTCATTTCAATTGAGCAGCCAGTGATGATTCTGTTACTCCTTTGCTTTCAAACTCTCCAATGGTATTCTCTTTCACTCTGAGTAAAAAACCCTATAGGATCTAATTATATGTCACTGTTACTTCTTTTTTATTTAAGGTTATTTATTTTGAGAAAGACAGAGACATATTGAGTAGGGGAGGGGCAGAGAAAGAGGGAGACAGAGAATCCCAAGGAGACTTGCTGCTGCCAGCACAGAAACTAAGGCAGGTCTCGAACTCATGAAGCCATGAGATCATGACCTGAGCTGAAAACAAGAGTTGGATGCTAGACTGACTGAACCACCCAGGTGCCCCTATGTCACTGTTAGCTCTATGATATGGTATCCTACTGCTCATCCCCCTTGGTAACTTTATTCTGGCCACACTGGCATCCTGCTGTTCCTTGGACATTCCGGGCATACCTTCGTGCCTTACGGCCTTTGCACTGCTATACCTCAGATAAGAATGGAAACATTCTCTTTCTTCATTCAGTCACCTGCTCAGTGGGGCCTTCCCTGACACCCTATTTGAATTACAAACCCCTTTCCTCTGAATGTCCTATATTTTTTTCACTGCTTTGTGTCTGTAGCACTTATCACTATCTTAATACTATATATTTGCCATTCATCTCTTTGTTCTTTTTCTATCTCTTCTAACCATGGCATAAACTTTCATTAGGGCACAAATGTCCATATATTTTGTTCACTGATGTAGAACAGTGTTTGGCATTTGGTCGTTGTTCACCTGTCACTTTTTGAGTCAATGAAACCAACCTCAGCTTTCTTTTCCTACTTTACCTCCCTTTCCCCCATTCACTCATCATTTATTTAGCACTTCTTGTATTCTAGGTATTATGCTGGGATTACAAAAGTTAGTACACCCTCAAAGGGCTCACAGACTAGTAGAGGAAATCAATATGGGAACCAATCATTACAATATATTGATAACTACTCTTATAATGAAATCTCACACAACATTGAAACATCAAGGGGACATGATTAGTTTTACTTGGGTATGGGAGGTAGGAAAGAAAGACTTAGTGAGTAGACTTGGTGGAAGAAGGACTTCACTGATTGGACTGTAGGAGGAAGAACATTCCAAGCCAGAAGGAGCAGAAAGCCTGGGGCAGTGAAGAACATGGCAGATATTGGGGATAGTTTCTTACTTAATAAAATTCACCTTGAGAAATAGAGGCTTACATAGAGCAAGGGGTAGCAAGAGAGAAGGCTGGCAAAGGTAACATAAGCTGGAATTCAGAAGCCCTTGTCTGCAAAGGAGCTTGGACTGTACTATTTATGCAGTTGTGGGTCACTGCAATGGTTTAGTCAGAAAAGCATCCTGGTCAGATTTATTTTTCTAGCAACTTTAAAAGGTTACTCTGGTGCAATGTGGAATTTGAATTGCAGGGGATTTGGATCAGGGGCAAAAAGCAGGTGGACTGTTTTAGGGTAACTCCCCATTTTTGCCTTCTTGATTTCTCGGCCTCTCGTTAACTCTGTGGAATAAATGCACAGACCAACTTATCCATTCATTAATTCAACCAATATAGATTAGGCCCCTACTCTGGGCACAGGCTGTGGGGATTATAGAAATAGACAAGATACATAGCTCATTCCTTAATAAATTTATAGTGTAGGAGGAGAGACAGGAAATAAGTCAGTAATAAAAATAAAAGGTGAAACCAATAGTATAATTATTGTAAATACCTAAAATGGTTAACTTTTACTACACTTCAGTTTGCTTTATTTTAGATTGCAACACTCTTCTTACTTAATAAAATTCACCTTGAGAAATAGAGTTATTTGATCAGATGCCTTGAAATGCAAGGTCATGGGTGAACTTTGAAATGCTGTCAACTAGGAAATGTTGTAAGCTATAGTAAATAAATATTAGTCAAGGTTTGTTTTCTTCCATCACTTTATAATTTTATTTTTTGGTTTGGGGTAGAGAACTAACTTTATAAAGAAAAATTATTAGAGTACTTAGAATAGTTTGGTTAAAATAAGGAGCAAGCAAGTAGAGGATATTAAATATTATCATGAATCCACAGGATACAAACAGAATTCTAATTTTTACAAAATAAAATGAAAAATAAAGCTTTCAAAGTTGGTAATTTGCTTTTTCAGATCTAATTAATTAAAAGAAATTGGGGTTTGTGTGTGGGGAAGTGGTTATCTTGTTTTGTTGTGCCTCGAGATGTGTTTCATTTTCATTGATTATACAAATAATTTGCTACAATCTACTAGGGCATGCCAGAGAATTTGGCAGCCCGGATGGGGGATTCCCTCAGAGACCACTGGCTGGTGTGGTGGCGTAAGCTTGGAGTATCCAGGTTCACAGAGCAGCTTGTCTCTCGTGTCCATCTTGCAGGTGGCTCTTCCTCCACATCATGACTGAGCATCTTGAAGATGACGGAGTCGGGCATCCTCTAGTTCTTAGGAAATTTCACTCTGCTTCTCCTGCTCAGTGGTCTCTCTGGTATGCAGGGTGTTCCTCTCCTGTGTCTCTGTTTTCTTGAGCTTGGGTTTATCGAAGCTGGCAATTTCCACCTTGTTCAGCTTGGCTGCCATTTTCTTTCCCTTTTTTGTTTTTTAATTTTTTAAATGTTTATTTTTGAGAGACAGAGAGAGAGAGAGAGTGAGAGAGAGAGAGAGAGACAGAGTGCAAATGGAGGAGGGGCAGAGAGGGAGACACAGAATCCAAAGCAGGCTCCAAGGTCTGAGCTGTCAGCACAGAGCACAACAAAGGCTCAGACTCAGGAACAGTAAGATCATGACCTGAGAAGAATTCCAAGGCTCAACCAACAGTTACCCAGGCATGTCGTTGGTTGCCATTTTTTAAAAGCCATCCATGGAGTTTCTCTCTGAGCCTGGTGCTCTCACTCGCATTGCGGTAGCAAGAGACTAGAGATTCAAGTTTTATGGCTGAGGGAAGGATATTTCAAATAAAGCTACTATATTGTAATTTACTGTATTGTAATCTCTGGGAAATAAATTTTATTTTATTTTTTTAGTGTTTCTATTTTTTATTTTTTTATTTTTTATCTTCCACATTCTTTTTTTTTAAGTTTACAAAGTCCAAATTTATTTTTTTTTACAAATAGTTTATTGTCAAATTGGTTTCCATATAACACCCAGTGCTCATCCCCACAAGTGCCCTCCTCCATGCCCATCTCCTCCCTCCCCCCCTACACCCATCAGTCCTCAGTTTGTTCTCAGCATTCAAGAGTCTCTCATGGTTTGCCTCCCTCCCTCTCCCCCACCATTTCCCCCCTTCTCCTCCCCCTTGTTCCTCAGTTAAGTTCCTCCTAATCCTCCTATACGTGCAAACATATGATATTTGTCCTTCTCTGCCTGACTTATTTCGCTCAGCATAACACCCTCAAGGTCCATCCATGTTGCCAGATTTCATTCTTTCTCATCGCCATGTAGTATTCCATGGTATAGATAAACCGCATCTTCTTGATCCATTCGTCCGTTGATGGACACTTAGGCTCTTTCCATGTTTTAGCTATTGTGGAGAGTGCTGCTATGAACATTGTGGTCCATGTGCTCCTATGCTTCAGCATTTCTGTATCCTTTGGGTAAATTCCTAGCAGTGCTATTGCTGGGTCATAGGTGAGTTCTATTGTTAGTTTCCTGAGGAACCTCCACACTGTTTTCCAGAGGGGCTGTACCAGTTTACATTCTCTGGGAAATAAATTTTAAAAAGAGCAAGAAGAAAGATAGAAAAGAAAACTTCCTGGGAATAGTTGTGTTTAAAGTGTTTGCTCTACTCTTAAGAGCTGTAATGAAGTTTTCCTGCTGAACCTGGAAATCGGATTATCCTGTGGTCATTAAATTTTTAAACCTACATATAATAACTCAGAACAAAAATATACCAAAATACCATAAAACATATGGAAAGCAAGATATACTATGTTTATGAAAGTATTAATCAATTGAAGAAAAAATGCAAATAATTAGAACCTAGCTAGCGTTGCTTGGGTGGCTCCATTGGTTGAGCATCTGAGTCTTGATTTTGGCTCAGATCATGGTCCCAAGGTTGTGGCGGAGTCAGGTGCAGCCCCCCACTGAGCATAAAGCTTGTTTAAGATTCTCCTTCTCCTTCTGCTTCTCTCTCCCACTCATGCTCTCTCTAAACAAACAAATAAACAAACAAACAAAAATTAGCTTGACCAGCCTTGAAAACCTATTGTTTTTATAAGTGTTGACAGCTTCCAGTGCAGACCTATTCACAGCAGTGCCCTCACTCGAGGTACCTCTTGGAAAGGTAACTCCCCACTGTGTACCCAGAAATAAAACAAATATGTGAGTCTCAATTAAACTTAAATGTAATAATTCCCACATATCCCCACTCACTGTTATAAGGCTTGACTTACCTACAAGTAGACAGCTCAAATTTAGTCTTATGCTTCAATAAGTCAGAACCGAAGTTTTAAAGGGTATATTTCTCATAAAAAACATTTGTGTTGCCTGCATTTTCAATAGTATATGCTGTACTAAATTTAAGTGTAGAAAACGAATCTTACTGTAAGGCATTACTTTATTCGTTCTACTAATTGTGAGTTTCCTAAAGCCAAGATTAAATTTGTATTCCTTTTTAACTATCACAAAACCTGTGCCACAGAGCCCAGCGTCTTGCACATAACATGTAATCGAATATTTAAAAGGAAAAAAGTCATTAAATGGTCTTCTAACAATATATAATTCTTCATTTCAAAAATGATCCCTTGTATTCTGATAAAACTTTATAAAATTCAATAATTAAAAGTGTAAGTTTTATATGCAGTGAAGTTATGTTTTAAAAAAAGGTGTACTTACAGAAATACATCAGACTTCTTATTAAATAATAGTACATAGTTATTTTTAAATTTTGGCAAGACTAATTCACATTTTCCTCACCCAAATATTCAGGGATTTTTCCTGTGCAAATATTATTATACAAATGTAATCCTATGTTAAAAACAATTCTATATCTTGTGGTTTTTTAAAGTTATTTGTATGGTAAATTCTACTGTGTTATTTCAGTCCTCCTGTATAGGTGGAAGTGCTCATAAACCATAATTTACTTCACTTTTGGACCACTATGGTAGATAATTAATTCCCAATGTATTACTGCACTTCAAATAATACTGTGATAGTTACCTTTGTCATAAAACATTTTTGTATTTAAGATTACTTTTCTAAAACCAATATCTACAAATTTGATTACTGGAGCAGATATTAATACTTTTAAAGTTTTTTTTATAATTTTTTAAACATTTATTTATTTTGAGAGCGAGAGGGAGAAAGACAGAGATAGAATACAAGAAGGGGAGGGTAAGAGAGAAAGGGAGACATAGAATGTGAAACAGGCTCCAGGCTCTAAGCTGTCAGCACAGAGCCCAATGTAGGGCTCAAACTCACAAGCTGTGAGTTCATGACCTGAGATGAAGTTGGATGCTTAACCTACTGAGCCACCCAGGTGACCCTTAAAGTGTTTTTAAATTACAAATTGTTTTCTAAGAGGTTTACATTAATTTATAAACACAATGGCAAGGCATAAAGGTGCTTATTTCACCACACCTTCCAGTTAGATATTATTTTTTAAAAATCTTTTCTTGGAAGATAGGAGAAAACAAAACAACAACAAAAAGGCTGTTATTGTTACTAAGTACCAATTATTATTTTGCACTTGGGTTGAATATTCCTATTTTTAAAATGTCTATTTTTGTTTAGCCAGGAGCCCCATGCCCTGTATCTAGACAGTGCTATCTTAGCACTTTAAAGTCACTAATATTATATATAATATTCTTTATATTTTTATATTTGTAAATTTAAAATAATCTCATTAGTTGCTTACTGTATGCTAGGCCTTGCACATTTATTATTTCATTTAATTCAAATAAAAACCTTATAAGAGGCTGTTTTATTTCCATTTTATAGATGTGGAAACTGAGATCTAGTAGGGTAAACTACGAATTCTTTATAATAGTATGCTCACTGGTCAGGAAAGATAGTGACTTTTTGTCTTTAATGTCTGCTGTAAACATTTTCCCTAGTATGGTTTGTGTTTTAATTATTTTTACCAATGGAGATTTTATGTCTTATCAAATCCATCAAGCCTTTCTTTTGTGACCTTTTTATATTACTTCTAAATTCAGAAAGGACTTTTCTCTTTGAAGGTTTATACATTTCTAATTATGTCTTCCAATTTGTCTGTGTTTTCTTTTTGATTTACTTTAAAGCACAGGTCTAGAATGACCTCAGTAGATGGTATGAGGTAAAAATCTAAATGGATCTATTTTTATGCAAATAGCCAACTGCTCAAATACATTTTATTGAAAAACCCCTTCTTCACCATTACTTGTGATGCTTCTTCTACTGCATGTTATTTTCTTAAAAAAATTTTCTTAATGTTTATTTGTTATTCAGAGAGAGAGAGAGAGAAAGTGAGCAGAGGAGGGGCAGAGAGAAAAAGAGACACAAAATCTGAAGGAGGCTCCAGGCTCTGCACAGAGCCTGATGCTGGGTTTGAACTCTCAGACTGCAAAATCATGACCTGAGCCAAAGTCAGATGCTTACACTGACTGAGCCACCCGAGTCACACCATGTTATTTTCTAACATACGGCAGAGTTTATTTCTGAGTCACCATTCTGGTCCCTTCTTCTGATTATCCAGTTTGTGCCAGTATCATGTTTTGAGACTCTAAAGAAAAGAAAGCATTATTTTTTTTAAGAATTTTTAAAATTTTGATATAGTTCAAATCAGTGTGCCGGGCTCATTTCAGCTCCTTTCCTGCCAAACCTGGGGGCAGCGACTGCTTCAGTTTCTCTGCCTTCTCTTTGTCTGATGACCAGTGTGTAAAGGTACCTGCTGCAGCAGACTTTAAACTTCACGTTATCCTTGCTTTTCTTGATCTTGACGGACTTGGCGTCCTTTCACCTGGCCATGAGCAAGAAATCCTTGATTTCTTCAATTCTGCGAGGCATGGTTACGAGGGGCACAGGCGAGCACGCGGCCGGTACCGCCCAAGAAACACTCACCGCAAGTGGCAAGAAGGGAGAGGAAAGCATTATTTGTTTAAATGCTCATCCAAAATTCTTGGATCTATGCAGATTTGGTTTCTGGTTTTGTGTGCATGTAGCAAACAAAAGAATCGGGACTTGAGGTTTCATGAGAAAGTCATTTTTGATTTATGGCTTAACACAAATTTATCATGTTTGTTATACATATGAGAAATCACTTTCATTGAAGAGAATTACATAATTTGGAAAGTTTTGAGATACTCTGGTATGATCAAGATTTGTGACCAGTATTGGAAGGAGTTCCTTGCTCTTTGCCACCCCATTCTATGCCCTGGTAATCTGATGCCAGAGGAAATATATTTATTTAAAAATTTTTTATAGCTTACTGCAGATGGTTCCCTCAAATCTAAGAATTCCACAACATTTACATTTAACAAATATTTATTAAGCAATGTACTGAGCATTCCAGATATAAAGAGAAATGAGTTAGTATTTTCCCTCAAAGGAACTCATAATGCATTTGAAGAAAGGAAGTGAAAATAATGTCTAATATTTATTGA